CCCTCACGCATAGAAGACCGCACGCTTACAAACTGTGCAAAATAATCACTAACTCATCATCATCATCATCGTCATCATCTTCATCATGATCATCATCATTATGATACGAATGACGAGTGAATTTTCTTAATGGCAATTCAAAAAAAGCCACTCAATTTGTCCAGGTGCAAATATATTTTTATTTTTGTTGTTGTTGTTTCTATATATTAAATTTCTCTTCAAATGACCTCTAGGCTCGGCTAAGGATCTCTAGAAAACTGTCTGGCGAATTATATATAAAAATTTACAAAAATATATATCTATCAAAACCTACCCACTCAAAATGCTAAGTATGTCGTGTAAATGACTACAGCGAAATAACGCTACAACGCACCAGACAATACGAGGTGTTAAACTGGAATCAAACAGCACGTGAAAACTCTTAAACAAAAAGCGTATCTTATGAAAAATACCTTTAAGGCTATGACTACACCATACCGAATAGCTCTTGTGCCGGCACGAAAATCACATCAGACAGAGCTTCTGTTTACACATGAGAACAGTGATTTAGGCGCGGCTACTGTAACGGTCTGCAAATCTGCGCCTTGCCGATCTTGAACGTGGACCGTCACATCGAATAGCTTTCTGGGCCACTCTTTGACGCAGTTTGAACAGATGATGCTGATGCTTTTCCGAAATCTCGACGTGAAAAGCTTTCCGGCTTAGTGTAGACACAGCCTAAGTTCAGTACCGAGTGAACAAGAACAAATCCCACAGAAACGGTTCGCAAAAAAGAAAACTTGCTCCTCGTAAAATCAAAGGAACAATTCTTGATAAACTTTGAAGCCCAACGTTTCAGACGGACATAATGAGCAACATTTGGAAAGGGCTAAACTATTTCTTTAGACGTCGAAATAGGAATAAGAGTAACTGAGGTTTTGATCTGGAGATCTTGACAGAATCTTTCAGAATTAAAAGTCAAGCGAATGTTACTTCTATTGTGCAAGTACAGAATTTAGAAGGAAAATTTCAGTTTAAGCGTATTAAATAAGGCGGAAAACTTTGTACACGCGGATAACACAAAAAAACGCCAACTTTAAAACAATAAATTGTGAGTAAATCAAAATTAAAATTATATCGGGCCAAAGCAAAAAAGGAACCGAACCTTTTAAAATTGAGTTCGTTAGTCTAAGATTGCCTCATTAATTTACAAAAGCAGCAAAAAATTCCCATGTGTTGTACCAGAGTAACAAGTGGAAAAGACTAGTCTTTGAATGACTAAATCAATAAATGACGACTTAGAGGTAGACGAGACGGAAGTGTTACATTCTGGAAAGAAAACAGATCAGAGCAGTTTTCCAAAGACTGCCGAAAAAGAAACCATATTGATAACTTTAGGAAGCCACGCATGGTGGAATAGTGACTGCTAGCAGTGAATTGTCCCTCGGGCGAACACGCAACTTGCGAGCGAGCAATCCCGAGGGAGTGTTAGCAGTGTAAGTGGAATGAACCAGTCAGAAGCCAGCAAAAATCCCCTCAGGATTGTCGCGTAGGGTTAAGGTTAGCATGTTACCTGCGAGCGAGCGGTTAATCCCGAGGGAGTGTTAGCAGTGTAAGTGGAATACACTAGTCGGAGGCCAGCAAAAAATCCCTCGGGATTGTCGCGCGGGCGAGCATGTAACTTGCGAGCGAGCAAGCAATCCTTATGGAGTGTTAGCTGTGTAGATGGAATGAACCAGTCAGAAGCCAGCAAAAAAAATATGACAGCAAAGCGGAAACATCTGATGAAGGGGTGCAGGTATCCATAACAAGTCAAAGTAAGTAAGTGAAATTTGTTATGCTAGTAAAGAGCTGATGAACTTTCGGCTATTAATATGGTTTCTTTGGACTGCCCTTCAAAAGTGCACATATGTTTTTTAAAAGCACTTAAACAGATTATTATGAGTCGGTAACCTTTTACTGCCAGAGAAAAAAATCCTGTCATGGAATGTGGATTGTGGGTGAAATGTCAAATCGCTCAAATGAAAGCTACTAAGCACTAACTGGCCTTTTTTCTGCAAGACACGTTAAAGCCAGAGAGAGACGTTCAGGTGGTCTTAAATAAATAAGACAGACTCATTTAACGTCTGACGACATTAAGGTCTCCTGTTAAGTGGGTCGGAACGACGCACTTACACGACGACTTAAACGTGTTAGGCGTTAAATGCGTCTAGTATAAAACGGGACACGGTAAATTGGGACACATTTATATCCAACTCGTCCAGAGAAGACTGGGAAGAGTCAGTTTCGTCTACTTTAATGCGTCCTGTTTTTACACCAGTCGACTTTAACGTCTCAGACTTTAGACGACTTTACATCTCTAACATAAAAAAGGCCATTTAAAATGGTACTCTGTTAATAATGCGCTCTACCGTGACTAAATTCTAAGATGTAACCATTCAGATGAAAGCTCTTTCGCAGTACTTTCCGGTGGTTCTGTTAGTTCTTTAGTATTTACAAATTTTTGGATTTTAAACTTAGCCATTTGAAGGAGTCAATGGGTTGGCAATTGACCACAGGCCCTTACACTATCTCCTTACGAAGGTTCTAACATAGTATTAATAATTCATACAAATTTGGCTATATATATTATATCCCTACCACTTTCGTAAACCGGGTTTTATAAATAACAGCCTTGTTCATCTCTCTGTAATTGGAAAATTTACAATCTGGGCTGGACATGCGAAATATAATCTTCTCCAAAATGGGGTAGATGAAGACGAACTACGAAATTTGGTTTCTCAAAGTTGAACCATGATAAAACGCTATCATGGTTTTTCGCCTGAATCAAAGTTGTACAATGTAATTGTGATTTTCTCAAAGCAATTTTCTTCCCCATTTCATAAGGGAGAACTGAAGATAAGCTTGTTTCAGTCTCGTTTCAGAGTCTGTGAAAGGCAGCAGCGCTTGATTACCTGCCAAGTTTTGCTTTTGTGTTTTGTTTTCATGATCTTCGACCAACGAGTAAAAATATGTACTTAAAGCTGAATTTACAACTTAGAAATGTTCCACTCTTTATCCACAGTAAGAAACAGGACCTTCGAGAGCAGCAAATATCAATTGATGCAGAAAGCATTTCGATGTCAAAGCAATTTGTTTGTGGTTTTCTCACACAGACCCCTCGTGCCTTAGTCCTGCTTTCTCGCCAAGTAAGGATGTCTCTAAGAATGGGACCTTCTTCATTTTCACCTTGAGGACCAATCACACATCCATTGCGATCCCACCCAGTTTCCACTCTTTTTCTTTTCTAGGAATGCAGACTTTGATCCCAGCATGTACATCGCCCTTCACGTGACGTCATGGCACGACACGTGATCATTAGTGTACCAATGGCGAAGATCACCTAATTTCAGCTGTCTTCTTTCGCTGTCGTTAACGTCGTTATCTAAAAATCAAAGATAGCATTTAAAAATGTGAAATAGAGCAGCTCAGTTAAGCCTAACCACTTAGTCGCCTAAAGACCTAACCAGAACGAACGATTAAAGGCTTCGCGTTTGCTTAGGATATATTAACGCTGATTAAACAGTTTTTTCCCACTTACTGTGTATTTTGTAGCAAAAAGACTGCCTTATGTCCCGGTTTTGTAATGTATTTTTCTAACGAGAAATAACTAACAACTACAAACTAACAACAAAATTGGTGACTGAAGCGTAAAATACTGAAGCCCGTGGTCTGACAGCCTAACTGTATTTTCATCGCTGCCTCAGTTTTTTGCCAGTACGACCTCCCAGTTTTTATATAGTTTTCATTTCTCTTTCCCGATTGATATGTCCAGACAACGGAAATTTCATAACATCTTTTAGACCGATTTTAAGATTTGGATATCATATAAACACTATAATAAATGCCTGAGGGGAACTCCCAAATAAAAGTGACGGGGATACTCGTCGTCTCGCTTAGAGGTGTAAATTGTACATTTTGGTCTCACTTAGGGTGTTTGGGACGGAAACTCACTATATTTGCCCATTCAGGTATCACTTAGGGCTTTGCATAAAGGAATTTACAAAAATGTAACGCATGGTCTCCTTAGGGATCAGTTTAAGCTTGAACCACACCCACATTGGTCTCCCTTGGGGGTTAAATTTTAATTTTCTGACGAGCGTCCCATAAAGGAATTCCTCCCCCACCCCCCCTAGGAATAGTGCTTAATGTTGCTTCTGAAATGATTAGCAATTCTTGCAGAAAATCAAATATAAAGTTGCGCAGACTTTCACGATTATGGAGATCGCTTTTCCATACTGCGCTCACGAAAGCGTATCCTATATAAATGAGCTTAAGTAGCAGCGGTTAAAAGACAAACAGGTACAAGATTTACCTTAAGTTAAATAAATTAAATTATATTTCCAGCTCCACTTCTTGCCAAAATCCTTGGTCGAAACACCGATTAGGAAGATACAGTTCATCTAAGTTCATCCGTCTCGTTGTTGAAGTTGGAGGCGTCGTCGTCGTCGTGGTCGTTTTTACTGTTGTTAAGTCAGATAATTCCAAAGAAACTCTGCAAAACAATCATTTACAGCAAGTTTTAATGATCGTGGACAGTTAACGCCAAAGCCAGATGCGTTATTTTGTTAGACTACAAGAGTTTAACTTAGTTTGCAACGAGAATAGATATTGCCACATCTGCTTACGCCCAGTTTAGTAGAATGATTGATGAGATGAGATGAGATCAGATGATGAGAAAATTTCCACCTATTAAAAACCCGCCGTAAATTTGAATCTAAAATACACTCGTAAACATATTCTATCTCACTCAAATTAATCTCCTAGGCGCTAGCATTTTATAGGAAACTACCTTTTTTCCAGTGTTTAAGACCCACTTAAAAGTGCTCTGAACGTTTAGCTTCGTTGTTTTTTGTAACACATGGACAGACAGCAGTATTTGATTACCTAAGATAGTTGCGCAGAAACTGGGCGAAAGTGACAAGACGCATGTGCTATTGCAGTCTACCGCTGACACTTAAGTACAACTCAAAGCTTAATACTTACTTAGTATTTTCTCTGAACTTTTTTCCTTTAAGAATCTTTTCATCTCCAAGGTTCTCTTTCGTTTTATTTGTATTCTTTTCTTGCTGTCTTGAAGCGACGAAATTTCTTATAATTTCAGGATTTCCTGACCTTGCGCCCGCACAATGTTTTGAATCAGGATCCTCAATGTCTATTTGTTTCGGATTAGCAGCTTGCGCCGATTGTTCAGCGGTTCCCGCTGTGTCGTTGTCAGGACCTCGCCTGTGTTTTCTCCAGAATTTCCATGCCATGCAAGCGACGATACAAAGAAGAAGTATTATAAGAGAGACCACAATGGAGACGATCATGGTAGTTTGTTTTGTGATCCCTGAGAAGGAAATGAAACAATTACTGTAGAATTCCGAAAATAAGCCCCTCCATGTATAAGCACCTCCAAATATAAGCCCCCCAATCCGGTAACGCAAAAAACCCTCCGTTAAATCGCCCCTCCAAATATAAGCCACCCGGGTGGCTTGTACCTGGAAGTCGGAGGCCCCCGGCGGAGGGGGGAGGGGGGAGGGACTCCCATACAAAAGTGGCGGGCATGCTCGTTGTCTCGCTTTGAGGTGTAAATTGCAGATTTTGGTCTCACTTAGGGTGTTTAGGATGGAAAGTCACTATATTTGTCCATTCAGGTAACGCTTAGCACTGTGCATAAAGAAATTTACAAAAAATGCCCTGTCAATTTTATATGGCATTCCGCCCCCCCCCCCCCCCCCCCCGCGGCTCCCGCTTTTTTTGTTGTCCCCCCACATACACAAAATAACATCCCCCCTTTTTTTTCTTTCTTTTAGTTGTGTTTCCTAATAATCAGGAGAACAAGAGCACCAACTCCACTCAGGCAGTGTCTCCTGTTGAGTTTGTTGCACCGCAATATGCAAAGTTTAACCTACCTGATTTTCTCTCTGAATTGTACGTGTCTCCTGTAAAACGAATAAAAATGTTGCATTAAGAAATAATCAGTTATTACATGACGTATCTTTGGACTATTTTAGGCGTCTAAAGCCAGGCGGGGATCCACACCAGTTTCCACCGTTCTACGGAAATCGGCCAGATTTTTCATGATAAATATATTTTTAATAATAAAATAACTCTACAAGTTGAAATCTGGGCAATAGTGTATCTGAAAGACTCGAAAACCCAGGAAAGGGTACTTTAGGGAGCTAAAATCCAAAAAAAAATTTCCTGGGCTAGCATGCCTCAAGACCACCCCAGAAGTTTGCGTCTTTGGTCACTATTGATCTTAGACCCGCGCCTGAAAGCGTTAAGAAAAAGGCCCGGTTAAGGCCATTTCCAAGCTCTCATGAATTCGCATTTACCAGCTGTTATATACTACCTACCCATTGACTCATTTTTAGTTGTATGCTTTGTTGTTGTTGCCGTTGCCAATGTGGTATTAACAGTTCCATTTGTAGTGCTTTCAATAGTATTAATCGGCTGATTGGTAGTACTGTTGCTCGAAGAATGATTCGTAGGAACTGTTGGTATCACCACCTCACAAATACTTCCGGTAAATCCCTTCTCGCATATGCAATGGTAGCCGCGAATACCATTCACGCAAGTGCCACCATTATGGCATCTATTGGGCCCACAGTCGGGATAGCACTGTTTCCCGCTATATCCCTCGGGACAGGAACAGTTGAAATCTCCTATTAGATCCTGCAAAACAAGTAAAATGCTGCAATCAGATTAAAAGGGGTATATCACACCATTCGCTATCCTTTTAAAAAGCTGAATCGTGTGTTCACATCAATTAAATTCCAAAAATAATGGTCCAGTTTTGTTATTTAACGGACCATATTGAGGAATTGAAACTGTTCCCTGTCATCTGTTGCTACGAATGGCAAGGATGGACATGACTTATAACTTGAAAACAACTGGGTACAGAATTGACCTACGTCAGCAATATCCTCGTGATAAAGCCCCTTAACCCTATCACTGCCAAATGTGGCCAAAGGCCAATTTCGACCAAATTTGCAAATTTCATTTTCTAAAATTTTAACAAACAAGAAGCATCATGTGAAAGTACAGGCAGAGACCTTTCATTTGAATGGTCACATCATAGGATTTCGTCCATAGACTCAAAAGTTAGAGTCACCTTACAAAACTGCATCAAACACTCTGGCAGTGAAAGGGTTAATCGCCCACAATCGGGCTCAAAATGCAGCAACACGTCCGTTCAGCTGTTGGACAGCTGGAGCTTGAGGCTCGAAAGCTTACTGACTAGGGAATCATGTTTTACAGTAGAGGAAACTGGCCAAAAAATAGACCACAGAGGGTTTATAGTTTTCTTCGTTACTCTCAAACTACTTTCATTTCCCTTCAATAGCTGATTGCAAATTTAACTCAAGCGATTTGAGCATCTTGCTTGCTTATATAAGAAATACCTTTAATATACAATGAAGGTTGACTAATAAACCCTCTAGACAGAAATTCAACATCAATCCTAATCTTGTACTCAGATCTCCCACGGTCGGAGGAAACCGACAGAGACGAAGACTGAAGCCAGTAGCAGTCACTCATCACTGCTCATCGCGTTTGTCAGAACGCATCCCAATCTGGTGTTCCTGTGGCACTAAGGCAGAAATTTTCGAGCTACTGCTGTCCGTATTATCGGAGTGTCCGTTATAGCGGGGTGTCCGCAAGGCGAGAGTTGACTGTATCACGGGCGACTGCAAATTAGCCGCCCCTTTTCATTTTATCAGGGGCACCTTGGCTGGGAAAATGGACTCCTTTGGACTCGATTTCGTTTACGTAATTTTTCCGTAAGTGACGAACATGGATCCGTAATCAATGATTATACCTCCAGTATAACACAAATAATACAGTCCACTCCGCCAGCGAGTGAAAAGGAAGTTTCAAAGAAAGAAAGCACATCCTTTCACAAGCCACTCCCTTTTTTGCCCTTGTCGCTAGATTAGACCGTAATTAAGCCTCCCATACAAACGTTCTTAGGGGTTCGTCACGCGACGGGCCAAAAGAACGTCTGCGTGGGAGACTAACCATGATATAACAACACACAATTTAATCTTACCGTACAGTTTCCTCCGTTAAAGCACGGATCACTGGCACATTCATTTATTTCTGAAAAATGCAAAGCATGACAAAATAATAAGCCGCTGTGCCCTCCTTAAAATTTCTCTCTCTAAAAAAAGATGGGACTCGGTCCCAGTGAGCAGATCTCTTAGTGGGTCCAGCATCATTCCCAGGGGGGTTGGTAACAAGGTGGGTAAAGTAAGTGGTGGAATCAGTAGTGTTGTCCACTTCATGGAGACACAAATAACTAGAAGTTTGGAGCACATTTACAAATAGTTTATTTGGCCATAAACGGTGTATGGCCCTTCTAAATTCTATCAAATAATCGGATATTGCCTGGGGGAGGAATATCTCACTTTAGTAAAATCCAACTAGTGGTCTATTATCAATGCTGCGTTCTGATTGGTTGAGCTTCTACTACGCTATATGTTATAGCCCACTAGTAGCGAAAAGCGCCGGCAATTTGGTGTGCAAAAATCGATTAAAGTGTAGCTTTTTCTGGCTAAAGTTGTTTTGTCTTGATATTTTTTAACAACTAGTTGGATTTTACTGAAACAATTATTCCTCTCGCCCTCATGGCCTCTGAGTCAATAGCCCATTGGCTATTGACTCAGAGCCCATTAGGGCTCGAGGAATAATTGTTAAATACATCGATATGGGTCGCAATAAGTCTACTCACCCACGGTGCAGTTTTTTCCAGTATAACCTTTTGCGCACGAACAAGCGTAGTGTCCTCCTCGAATGTTTGTGCAAGTTGCACCGTTTTTACACGGCTTTTTTCGACCGCAGACTTCCAAATCTGAAAATAGCACGTTTAATAAGGATGAGATGTTCCCTGGTCTAATAATACTGAAAACTAGGAGAAATTTAGGTTAAACAGACAAATGTATGGAGAAACTTACCAACATCACAGGAAATTCCACCCCATCCGAAGTCACAGTTACATTCCCATGGCGACCTACATGTACCATGGACACACCGGGGCTCTTTACGACATTGCGTGCAATTTGCGCCTTTCCACCCACTTGCACAACTATAAAGAGATGATGAAAGTTTTAACATTAGTATCAATAAGTATTTCCAGATTCAAGGACGAGAAAGACTATGAGTACGAGATCTGATTAAAAGTTTTTTTTAGGTATAGTTAAAAACCTCAGTAGAATGACAACGACTATCACGTTTTCCCGCTAAAATGACGCTGGTTAACGCGCGCGCGCGCGCGCGCTACTTGGTTTTGAGAAAATCTCGTACTCGTAGTCGCACTCGTCTAAGAATCCAAAGATCTCTTACAACGTTTTTAAGAAGGTAGCTTTTTTTTGAGGGGCTGGGTTAGCTTAACCATATGTATGAATCTTATTGTCACGTTTGCTTATTTCAGCGGACCAAATGGCTGCTCTTGTTTTAGACAATTGCAAAAAAGTACGTACGGCTGTACCTGACGTGAAGTTTTACATATCGACCGAAACGTTAAAAGAAGAGTTTTTAAAATTGTTTCCTCGTTATATCTGCTATTATTGTTGGAAAGGGGGATAAAATGGAAATAAAAGAACACAACAGAAAGGTTATTAGACATACACCGGTTTGTTCGCTAATGCGCTGTGTGAAACCTTCATATGCTGGACTTCGATCTGGTACTCACTTCATTTTCTCGATTCCCTTGATTTCAGTTTTTTCTCTTTTTCCATATTCAAAAATCTGTTTCTAGTTCATTTAGAATGTTTGTAAAAGCCCTCAATGTGTTTTTAAACATCCGTTGTGTGAAGGACTTCCACCCAATTGAGGGCATCACTAACATCGAAAGTAGCTAACTGGCTTACTTACTCGCAAGTGTTCGGCGTGACACAGCTGCCGTAAGTTGGGTGGCATCCTTCTCGGCAAACAACTAGGACATTAGGGAAAGTATGTTAGTGCAGAAAAAATATGATGTGCATGTGGAAATTGCAGCAAATGCTACAGATTTTTCGTTTTTGCCAAAGCGAATAACACATTTAATTTTACAGAAACTGAACGTCTTTATTCGTCAACACCCATTTCATATCATCATCCGCGTGTTTAAGAGACTTTCACCGATCATTTACGAATTATACAGACGAGTCACCAAGGCTCTCCACGCGCGTCACCCTCGTTACGCGCTACACGGGCACGCACCACGAGTCAAACAGCGAGGAAAAGCTAATCAAACCGTTTGTTTTCTAAAGCGCGTTTGTTTTCTAAAGGGCCCTTGGGCAAAATAAAATAGAGGCATAACTGTTGAACTACCTGCCTTGGCACGTAACGATTGCCAGCTGCAGTTGCCAATTAAGCGCACAGTTGCGAGGCATACACACGCATCAAAACAATAACAATAACACTATCGTGCTCTGCACAAGAGGTCATTAATGAACGACCTTGAACAATACAACCCCCACACAAAATACGAAAAATATTGTTTAATATTGTTGATTTTACGGTCTGTTAAGATTAAATGTTTGGGTTGGGCGACACGACACACTCGATTGAACAACGTGAGAGCGCATACTAATCAAGGTTCACAGAGTAATGGAGTTTTCTCGTTAAAATCTGCTACAGATTTAAATATTCTGAGCTGAGATGCTAATAAAAGGATTTTCAATAATTTAAATATGTGTTCCGAGAACTTGCTATATGTCCCCTCGATTGAAAATGACGACGTTTATTGAATATCTATTACTAAGCTCAAATAAGAAGCTTACAGATGGTATTGTTAGTCTGTGTAATAATCAAACTTACAGAAGAAAGAAGCAACAAAACACGCCTAATCCTTGAAAAACGGTAAACAAACGATAGATACACGAGGTCCTAACGACGGAAAAATACGGCGAAAACTAAGTGTTCATATTGAGTAGAAGTTTCTTAAAAAAGGTAAAAATTGATGGAACAGGAATGTTGAATGTTTTCAAGTATCGACTGAAGTCGCTGAAGCAAGACATAAAAAGCTTGTGTTACGTTTTTACCTCTGTTTGTTAAGTTGAGTGAGAAATCATGTAATTTTAACCAAACTTGAGAAAAAGTTGGCTATGAGTTTTGCCCTTTTACTTTCATGGAATTTCCGCTTATAGAACTAGAAGAGGCTTAAAGAGTCAATCTTGTTATTGGGAATTGAGCAATAGAGCAAATGTCAGGGAAGGCTTCCACAAGAAAATAGTACACCACAAAGTTGCNATCGACTGAAGTCGCTGAAGCAAGACATAAAAAGCTTGTGTTACGTTTTTACCTCTGTTTGTTAAGTTGAGTGAGAAATCATGTAATTTTAACCAAACTTGAGAAAAAGTTGGCTATGAGTTTTGCCCTTTACTTTCATGGAATTTCCGCTTATAGAACTAGAAGAGGCTTAAAGAGTCAATCTTGTTATTGGGAATTGAGCAATAGAGCAAATGTCAGGGAAGGCTTCCACAAGAAAATAGTACACCACAAAATTGCTATTTGCTAGCTATAAAAATTCCGTTAGATCAGTGGTAATTGGCTAGTGCTGTTCCACAAATGAATGACTTTGAAGGAAAAAAACTGTTGTGAACGAAAAGATAAGGACAACAGGCAAAAGAAGCGATATTCCTAAGGAACTCAGTGCGGAAACTGTTTTAACTAAACTTAACGGAGGATTTTTTGTTCACAAAGCTTGAAAATTTAAACTCATTAAGCTTCCTAACTTCGCACTCGATTTTTGCCTCCGCACCAAATGAAACCCAGGAATCGATTGCTTTACAAAGTATAAGTTTGCGCGATCATTTTGTACATATTTGCCATTTTGTTTTAAGATAAATCCAAATTTTTACCCAAGTTTGTACTTACTTACATTAAACTGATCAGCCTGAAGCACGACCGTGTATATAAAACTTTGAAAATTCCAGTTAATGTAAGGTCTAAACTGTTTTATAGTTCTGTTTTAGAATTCCCACTGCTGTAATTGCACTAATTGCCTATGAAATTATTTCGGTCGGCTACTTGAATAATATGAAAACCACTTCAAGACTCCGTTTCGCGTCATAATTTTACCGAGCAAAGTTAATCTGGAAGATGGTACTTACATTGTAAGGCTTATTTTAGATAGATACAGAGTGGTTTCGTTGACAGTATGCTAGACACTGTAAAAACGGAGTTCGTCCAGTTGGCAGACAAAATCCATTTTCTACTATCTTTCAACATGATGATGAGTTTGAAATTTTGATAGTTTAGCCAACTATAGGAACTGGTATCAAAACTTAACGCCACAGATAAAAGTGTAACTTTTGACTATTGTGAGAAAGCCACTGAGCAGATCTTTGCTGTTGTCCTGGTTATAACGTTGCCAAAAGAAAGTCGCCCTCTTTAAATTTAGCCTGGAATAAAGTTGTTCGTAAGGCACTTTGATAGAAAGCGATAAAAGCCGCGTACACTTACAAATCGTAAGTTAAATGTAATTTCTGTGTAAGAGTATACCACATAATATGCGCTGAGTCTACCACAGTAAAACACAGCTATTACCTTCGGTGCAATATGAGCCTTTCCAGCCCGGTAAACAGACTATGGTACCATCACTATCACACGTATAGTGTCCATTGGAGTCATTACGAGGCAGACAGTACTTGGAACAGGAGTCGCCATAATAATTCTGTTCACACACTACTCGATACGAGAAGGTGATGTTCGCAACTGTGCCTACGTGACTCACATTATGCCATTGTGTGCCTGGTAGCAGGTTTTGCCTTTTAACAACGGCTTCCTCGATTAATACTGAACTGGATGCACCTGAAAGAAAATGATTTGCAGTGAGTTTTTGTGGCAATGACTTAACAGTCCATCCTCGGCCAGGTCAACCAATCGGCGAGCTGGAAAGAAAAACATCTGACCATTTGGCGCGCATGAAAGAGTGTAGTGGGTGGCATGACGCGACGAGCGCGGGAAAACAAGGACGTCAAGCGCGGTAAACTCCTAAATCGTTGACTTAGCCAATCGAGGAGCTCGAAAGAAAAATATTCTTGAACAATTGGCGCGAATGAAAGCGTGTAGCAGGTGGCATAACGCGACGAGCGCGGGAAAACACGAACGTCAAGCGCGGTAAATCCCAGAACAGTCGACTTGCCAGGGAAAAGTGGGAAACACCACAAATGAACCTTGAAATGCAAGATAAGTACAGTTATTTGAAAATAATTTTGATATCAGACAGGACGCTTAATTCTCTCTTGCATTGGGCCAAGACTCACTTTGACTGGATTTCCTCCTTCGATAGAAATTAAAGAGTGAGTGAGGACTCCTATTAACCCTGTAAGCCCCAATATGACGTATCCACATACAAATCCTCCAGACTGAGCTTCATAGATTTTCTTGAGAATTAGCTGAGAGAATTTGACAAAAGATCAAAGTATTTCCCCATTGGTGATCATTTTATTGATTATCATAACCCGTTTCTTTGAGTGTTTAAGGTGATGTTACACGAGACGATTCGCCACGACGATTTTTAGCGCAACACAGCATTACAACATTGTTGCGACATTGTTTCGAATGGTTGCAGCATTGTTCAAACATTGTTTATACGCTGTGTTACGCTCAAAATCGTAGTTGCGAATCGTCTCGTGTAACATCACCCTTAAGGATTAAATTAACCTGCAATGGTTAAGGTGGGGCTTAGATGGTTTCAGTTCTAGGATATCACTGCACTCCCATCGGAATACTTTACTGCTAAAATAAAGGCGATAGATGGAATTACGTCTCTTCCATTTCCCACTAATTTTTTCCAGCTGTCCGGACAAAAACAGACCTTTCTTTTCCGCTATCGAAGTATTTGCAGACGACTTGAAATTTTTACAGTGTGGTCTCAATCAAAAACATATTATCGCATTTGCATGATAAATAACTGACTTTAATTAAAGACATTGACAAGGTGATTGAGTAATTAGACATGGATAAAGCTTAAGGTGGAAAAACACACGAAATGATAAAATACTTGACAGAAGTTAATTGGTTGACAGCTGCTTTATCCATTTTACTGACTCAGTTTTTAAAAATAGTTCAGTCACAAACAGAAAGGTAGCTCCATAAATTTAAGACAGCTCAAGCTCTGATTCATTCCACCCTTTATTCATTTAAATACCTAACTCAAACTTACGTTTCCAAGGTTAGAATAGAACGCGGAAAAAAACAACAACAGCAGCAACGACGACAACAACAAATGATCTCCTTTAGTGCATAAAGCAGATGGTAAAAGAATGCGCCTTAACTTTCAATGCCGGCAAGTTTAGCCAAAGTGTAGGATTTCTTAAAAGTAGGGTGAAACAGTATTCAAGTTTAGAGATTTTGGATGATATACAAAGTTAATGATGACTGTATATATTTAGCAAATATAAGCTTGACAAGCCTTTTTTAAAAAATGATCAATGTGGATCAATGCCAGCGCATTACTCAAGGCTCGAAACAAGCTTGAATTCCAGCTTATTCTCTGGGCAAACAGCTCTAACATTTTGCTTGCACGGGGTCACTTTTTGCTCTTCTTTGTTAATGATTTAGTTACAGGATGACTTGCGGCGACCGTTACTCAACTTTAAAAGTTACTTGCCCAGCAAGAAAATCTCTCTGCAAGTCCGGGACTAACGGAACTACCGGACGGGATCTTTTTTTTGAGCCCTGATTACTATTAACGGGAAAGGAAACAGAAACACAGCAAATCGTATTTTAGAAACGCTGAAGTCGACAGATTTCACAAAGTATACGTTTAACAGTGGATTGTCTTTTCCGGACAGGCGAGTGCAGTAAGCACTGTTTGCGAGGGAATTGCGGAAGAAACACCTTCACAAAGTATCAGTTTTACTCAGTGGCTTTTACTTTTTGTTGGCACGCCATTTAGGGAGGGCAATGGCGCCAAATAAGTAAAGAATTCTTATAACTCTTAATTATCCTTTCCTGTTCGCAAGCTGGTTAAGCCCTGCTAGAGGCTATCGAGTTAACCTTTCTTTCCCAGTTCATATTCTCCATAAACCTTTAAGCTTAGTAACTTATCATAAGCTGAGCACAGAATTCAAGGAGTTTTCCGCAAAGAAAACCCAAGCTGATGTTTTTGATATTCTGATCAGTGCAGAAAAGATGTTTTTTTAAAAAAACGTTTTTGAGCCCACGTCAAAAACTGGAGCACGATATGGGCTGGTACTCCCTGGCAATATGGATAAAAAGAGAAAGCCTATCATTCCAAGAAAGTTGGCCTTTGCGGCCAAGAATTGAGCGATGAAACGTGTTTCTAACTTCACTTTAACAAGTTGATTGCGGACTATACCTTAGATTCAAAAAGGCATATTTAAAAGTCAATTCTTCAGAGCATTTTTCCGGATTTCTATCGGGTTAGTGTATCACTTTGATTCCTTAGTGACTATGTCGACACAGCGGCTTTATCTTAATGCCTGTTTTTTCAGACAGAGAGTTATACGAAGGTTATGAACTCGTGCGTTTCGTGTCTAAACAATAGGAATTAACGAGACATAAAATCGGCGAATTTCAGACTAATTGATTTTCCAAACGTAAGCCAAATAACTAGACGGAAGATATGATAAAGAGGCAACATAGTAAGCCGAAAATTAATCTCTACGGTCATGAGTAAACCAAACCAAACTAAATCAAAACTCGGTTGGCTGTAACTCCTCAAGATATTGTCGAAAGAGTAGTCGCCAGTTTCGAAGAGTCATTACATTCTATGATTTCATATAAAAACACGGCGACACATGAGACTACAATTAGATTAATGCAATGAAGTCGCAGCACTGAAATCGAATAAGCAACCTTATCCTATCGATGTGTTGTGGCAATATGTTTCTGTACGTCTTTGAACCTAGTCGCCTCAAACACACAATATGTTGGCACTAACAAAGATTGTCTAGCATTCCACAGAACACGATGCCAAAGTTATCTAGCAAAGAGCTTTTAAACTACGCTAAAATTAAAAATCGTCGATGGGATGAAAATCCTGTAACATCAGTTTTAGAGGATTAACCTTATCAGCGCGCCGATATGGCTGGTTTTTAAGACAACCGGACAATCCGTTGACAAGGCGATGGGGGCAAAAGGTTATCAGGACCGAACAACTCATTAACCCACTTCAACTGATACAAACATAACATCCCGGCACTAGCTGTTTGTACGTACCACATAAGCTGTTTAGCCAGGCTTCATTAGCACGCCATTATCACGATCGGAGATATTGAACATATAGGTTAAGTGAGTTAAGAGATTTAAAAAGATAACTGGAGAAAAGAAGATCTATGCTAGAGTATTATGAGAAGGAAATGAGACAGTGATTTATATTTGTTACTGTGTCAGTCGCTCTTTAGGCTCTTTTACGTGTCAGCTTCGACTGAAACTGAGTGAATGAAAACTCTTAACCCTTTCACTGCCAGGGTGCTCGATGGAGTTTTGTAAGGTGACTCTAACTTTTGAGTCTGTGGACGAAATCCCATGATGTGACCATTCAAATGAAAGCTCTCTGCCTGTACTTTCACATGATGCTATTTGTTTGTCAAAATTTTAGAAAATGAAATTTGGATATTTGGTCGAAATTTGCCTTTGGCCACATTTGGCAGTGAAAGGGTTAATGAAAACTGACTGAAAAAAATTATGAGCAGAAGCAAGATGTACCGACACGACCTTATGGCTGGATTTAGAAGCTAAAACAACAACAAAATTACATGATTTTTCAAGACTGAACAGGAACTAAAAGGTTAAAATTACGCCCATAAAAAAATCATGGGGCCAATTAACTGCAAAAGCTAACAACAACGTGTCTTCATTTCCTGAATGCCTCTATATACTAGACATAATTTAGGAAAGAAAGAACTTATTCAGCTTTGAGACACTAGAGACGACTTGGAGGATTCTCCAATGTTTGGAATCGCTGAGCGGGCATTTTTGAAGCCATCAAATCAATCCTGGGGGTTACTCGCTTGCGTGTAAAATCAACAATGACTTTACTGAAACAACAAATGACAGCAAAGATTCTCTCCAGGAACAAATGGTTTTATAATTATTGTATACACACACAAACGCCATAGAATGTCAATCTAAAGTGAAATGTTTGAATCGTTGGCTCTTAAGCTTTTGCTGAAGGAATTCACGGCACTGTTATTGCCGTGTAGCGTGTCAAACGGATATCGAATTAATATATGACCTTTTCCGCGGGAGAATACTCTCACTCACTCAATGTTTACTGTCTACACACGAACAGCATTCATCGACACCGTGTTTTTTTAAGAGTTGAATGAAAGTTGTTAGCGATTTAAATTATATCCTGTTCATGAAGTCTGGATGCAAGAGATAACCTTTCGCGTGCCGCAATGACCTATTTTGTGAGGCGAGAGTAAATTTTAATCCCAATAATGAAAGGGTTATCGCGTCTGAAAACACCCACATTCATTACCTTCCACGCTGCAACATTCCAGAGCAGTTAATGTTTAAGGTTAAAAACTTCACGCACAAAGCTCTCTAACAGGCCAAAAATATATTGAAATTGAATAGGCACTAAACAGAAACCGAAGACATTTGCTCACCTTGATGTTTAGCTGTGACAACGAGCTGGAATGAGCCCTGTGAAGCAAAGACACAAAAATATGAGTTATGCTCTGAATGTTTTTACATACTCGATACTTTCACACTACAAATTCGCGCGAGAGAGCAATTAACACTTGATACTGATTGGCACACGCAACGAATGTTAGGAAATTATATGAGAATACAGAAATCGATGTAGTGTTCGATAAGCAGCTTAGAACGCTTTAACAAATTGCAATATTTATGCGTAAGTAAAGTGGCGCGTGCAAAGGTCACTACCAACAACGTGACATAACTTTCAGATGATCTCCCCACGTTTTGAGTAAACTAAGCTAGAATTTTGAAGTACACTCACTAACGCAAGAAAAACGAAAAACACCAAAAACAAAAAAGAGAAAGATATCAGTTCATTTTCCAGTTGTAAGCGGAACCATAATCAATAGTTTCGATAAAGCGATTTCTTCCAAAAGTAACAACTTCTGTCAGACTCTTTTAGGGTAATAGTCTACTTCCATCTTTCCTTGGTCAAAGATACTTTTAATTGCTTTCAGTGTACTCATACAGAAATTTTGACAAGTCCAGGCGGCTGTCAGTGAACTAGTGTTTCGTTTTTGACACAAACACTTCAGCTGGACTCTTAAGCCGTATTAATTCCTGGTGACCATTTAGGATAAACGCTGACCGAGAAAAACACAAACTTATTCTATACTACAGACAACAGCAACAGACAAGTAACTTAAAGTAAAACCACCTTGGACAGCACTGTAAGAACATACCGCTTCATAGTTTCTTTTTAAATGCTTCAGTTGAATGTAGGATTTTGTCCATTAAGACAATCTTCTGTGATCATGTGCAAATCAAACGTGGCCGACCAACCTTGACTCCCACGTATCGGGCTTCAATATCAGACGTTCTCGCATGGGAAATTTTCAAATTCATTTTATCTTACATCACATCACAACGGAAAATACGAAAATAGCCCAGTATATCGCTTATGTGACAGCACTTCATCCGGCCGTGAGAAATTTCAAATCACTATTTCCCATGCATTGTCCGTCCGCAAATTGGTCCGATGTTAAAAAGGGGTCAACAAAATCAACGTTGACGAATACTATTTTGTGGAGGCTTGAAAACATACAGAACTCGCAAGCCTTCTCTAATTAGAAACTTTCCAACGAGAGGGGGAAAAAGGATTCCGCGAGAAGGCCAGTCTAGGCCAAGTATAAAGAAGTTACAATGGGTAGTTAAAACAGTCTGTTACATTGACACGAACCTGAAAATCTAGACCCAAACTAAGAAGATGTTTATACGGCCTTTGTGGTTCGCCTTCCTCGTATTACAGTAAAATAAGTTGCGTTTCCTCGCTCGACATTAAGACGACAACCCATTTCCTTCCGTTCAAAATAAATCGAGTCTTATAGATTGAAGTGATTTTACACGATTGTTGGACTGAAACAAGGCCGGTGGTCCTCGCTTCTGCAATATTTTCATCGCCATCGCCCGTTCCAAGTCTAAAATTTGCTAAACAGATTAAAATAGAGACGAAGGGAACGATTGTTCGACATTAGGATGTTTCCTCTCGGAAGCTGCAACAATAAAAAGAAACCCAAACACTAACAGTGCATAAACGCTCTGTTGTGTTTTATCCTCGACTAAGCCTCTTAACGGGTAGGAAGGAAAGTTCCGGCAAAAGTTTAAAAAGCAACTAAGAGCTACAGCATATCACGTCACTCCATTTGCTTTTCAATTTCCAAAAGGAACCTTAAAAAATTGTCTATTTAGACAATACGGAAACTATTCACAAAATAAGAGGAAATAATTACAAGTTTTTGGAGACCTATCGAAACTGAAATTTCCCACGAAAAATAAGGCTCTTTTTCAAGCGGAAATTCTAGTAACAAACACAATAATACGCCCCATTAAATATCCTCAAAATAGAAAATATAGAACATATCAACATCCGTCTTAAAAAAGAAAAAAGTACGATCTGAAATCAACTGTCTGTTTTTTTCGTTTTTACTTCTACGGTATGCAGTAAATCGGTTATAATACTGAATTATTTCTTCGGAAGCATTCACTTTTGCGGAAAACCCTGTCGTATCGATTAATTGTGAAGGACAGTGTTGACTGGTACACTTTTCGTTTTCCGATATTCGAACTTATTTCTTCGATGTCAATTTTTCACTCTCGTCAGAGTTCGAAAGTCAAGTTTTTTCGCAGTCTTAAGGGATGAAATTGTATTTCACAACTTAAGGTTTTAAAATGAAATGTCGAAAAGACTATTGAAGTATCGCGAAAGCGAAAGTCTGGTAAAACCGTCTAATTAAAAATACATATTTTAAAACAGACATTGGTACCCCTAGTCAGGGGTTCCTTGGACAAAATATTTTTGACAAAGATTCAAAGACCTCAAAACTTGGAAAAGTTCGGAAACTCCGCGAATAAAACTACAATGTCGGAGAAAAGTACTTAGGAAGGGTTGTCCAAATTGTTCAAAACGAAGATGGGTTTTCCGTTTTGCTAGTACCACCCGCCCAGCCAATTCGGTGTTGGTATATAACAGAACAATTAGGCACACCGGGGGTACGGGGAAAAAAACAAAAAAAGACGTAAAAAGTAGTAGCCTTCCCAAAACTTTTGACAATGATTGTCATTAATAAGTACCCTCTAATGGGATGGTTCCATAAGAAGAGAGGTTTATTCTTACCGGCCACGATTGGATGGCTCGCCATGGTATCTGCAACAAGCTATTGGATGGGATAACGAACGAGCTGTTACCCAGGATGCCCGAGGACTTCCTTCCCAAGTAGCAGCCTTGTATGTTATGTAAAAAACCGACGCAGACTGTGAATAATGTCCTGCAGGGTGAGGAGCATCGGCCCTGGACCTCCTGCCCGGTACAGCATCTGTTTTGATGGTCGTTCTGCCTGGGATTTGCATAGCTGAGGAAATGTACTTCGATCATTCCCGTTCCCTGACACTTGAGTAACAAAAACAAAAACAAAACCAAGAAAACGCAGATATAAGATGAAGTCAAATGAATGGCACAGTGATCATTTCAGTCGTACCCGGCTTCAGCCCTCCGCTCTAGCCCTCGCGCTCTACTAGAATTAAAAGCTAAAATTAGCTGTAAATTGACCACATAGCATAAGATCTACTTGTTGAAAACGTAGATCCACCCACTCAACGGATATTTCTTATAACAGGACTCGCTTATCCACTACATACAGGTGTAGCTAGTCTATCGGTTGAATATCGTTATCTACCACTTCAAAAACCGATAACCGGTGGTTTGGACTGTTGGCCAACGCTTTCCATATGTTACCGTGGATGTAGTTTTCTCATTCTTAAAATTTGACGCATAGAATATGGAAAAAGCAAACATAACTGATGCTTCGTTCTTTACCCTTTTAGGTCCCAAGAGTGACCAACATCAATTTTCTCCTAACAAGATCAGCAGATCATCAAGAGTAAAGGTTATGAGAATTGCTAAATTGATTATCAAAGGGAGAATGCTTTGATCTTAAATCAAATTCTCTCAACTATTCTTAAAACAAATGTATGGAGATAAGTCTGGAGAATTTGTTTGTGGATCTTGGGGCTTAAGGGGTTAGGCGTCTTGTATCAATGGCTAGTATCTAACCAAGCCTTAATAACGTTCACGTGCACACCTTGATCTTGAGCGATAGCTGTGGGTTTCTCTCTAATGTACTTTATATTTATAAAATTATGATTTGCCATTGTAGAAGATATTTGTTGATTTTAATTGGGAGAGACAGGTTCTAAACCATAGTTCAGACGAAGATAGCCTCATACATTCGAAAATCGATAAAACTGATTTGAACTTGTGATACTCAAGGATCACCATCTCCAGAAGATATGAATCAGTACTGAACTTAACAAGTATCTTTAGAATCGAACCACCCGATCTTAGCTAGCACTGGATGACTGTAAGTATTTTCACAATCCACATTTGCATTCACCAAATCATAATATCAAAACACGAATCCATAAAGACAAAAGGGGAAATAAAGACATAATTACAGCAATTACGTAAAAAACCGGCAACTTATAATCGGAGCGTTGTTCCGCGAGAAGAAACGTTTCTCTACTTCGAGTTCATTTGTGATGCTACACGCCATAATAAAAGCGATGATTGAGATACGCTGTCGCCCAATTCAAAAACAAAAACAGCAAGAAAAAGACAACAAAAACAGAAAGCTTTTAAACTAAAAGGAATTTACCGAGACAGTAAAGTGACTCGATAACCGTTCTTGCATGCCATGTCAATCGGTTATCCACGATATTAAATCCACTTAATTGAAAGTAGCAATTCAATTCTTTTCAGTTTCGAACTCTTGCAAGCAATAGTTGAAGGGTCTCATGAGTATCTGCCTTACTGCTCAGCTCAAATTTGATTTAATGCGTATAAAACCTGCATTTCAATAACAGGAAATTCCGAACACGAAAGGTTCACCCAAGAGAGAAAAGTTCGCGTGGAACGCGCGCGCGCGTCTCCAACTGCGTGTTCTATTCTCTTTCGAAGTGCTGTTAAAGAATTTCCCTGCGTGAGGTGTACAGACGTTTTTTGAATAGTTTTTTTAGCATACCATTTGAGGAAAAAAAAAAAGACAAGTCAGGTACTCATATATAGATAAAAATCTTGCAGGCGATAAAATGCTAATGGTGCGAGAAATGGCCCAATACAGCTCGACAGGTAAATTATTGCTGATTATTGCCAGGATATCTCTGGGAATTTGATCAATCGATCCTTAATATTTTCCCCTTTATCTGAAGGAAACCGAGCCCTACCGCGCAATTACCAAGCTACCCTATTACTGCACAGTCAGCGGAACGAAGAGCAGAGGAGAAATAAATTTAAAGAGCGCGCGAAACAAAATATAGAAATTTTAATACTTACCAGAGGTAACAATGAGGCCCAAAGGAAAAGCACAAGGATCCCAAGATTTACGCGCTGATTTCCTTTCACAAATGCGGCCAGTGACTGCCGAGGGAATTCTCTCAAATGCATGAGTTTCGTGCCCACCTCATTTAAAGTATAATCTTTACTGAGTGCGATAAAAAACACTCGAGTGTTGTGGCCGTTCGACGTGCAGCAGTTTCTCAACGTTCAGCCTGAAAGAGCATGAAGACAGATAAACGTGATTAAATTGTGGTTACGTAAATATCAGCTTCCCTATACGATCCAGTTGTCAATTGTCACCGTGCAACTAGAAAGCGGAAGGCAATCGCGTTTTCAGATCTCCGAGCTAAATCGCAAGTCGGTTCTGTAGAATTTGTAACGCAAGCCGGCCCTTGAGCAGCCAGCTGTTGCTGTTTCACGGCTCGTTGATTTGGATGGTACACAAAATGTTTATTTCCTACGGTTCTCAAAATATCATATAGACTGCAGGAATATCATGTCACTGAATTCTTTCGGAACTCTTTTAAACGCCTTTTAATGCACTTGAGGGTCACTGGGTGCTGTGATTTTATTTAGCAGCCCAAAACCGGCGCGCGCTTTTTGGATAGAATTGCCGAAGATAGGAGGTTATATACATGAGTACCGGACGTGTAGGGGCTTGTCGAGGCAGCCGTGCATGCCATAGAAGAGATAGCAGAGTAAGCGTCCTTGCGAAAGGGCACGATTGTATCCTTGTGAAAACGAAATCTTTAGAATCTCACTGCTTGATCGATACCTCACACTCTTGTGTCGACAATTTGTTATATTATCGCGGGATGGCGGTTAAATTATTGCTATTTTTTCCTTATTCCTGGCAATACAGGAAACAAACATTCAAAAACTGCTTGCTTCTATTTCAAGTCAGATTATAACATTTTCTTTAAAGCTTTGACACGGAAATTCCTAGAACCGAACGCGCTGAAAATCAATCCAATTAAATTCGTCGTCTCTTGTGTGTGACTGTGTTTCCTTTGCGGCGAAAGCCTAAACAAATGCCCAACTAAACAAGTCACCGATATAAAAAAGTCACTTCTAAAGTGTTGGCTAAACGTCAAAACTTGAAAGATTTAGAGAAACACTCTTAATCGTACTCACCAAAAATCGTACGGTGACGAATTACAAGATTTCTGAGCTAACAGAAGTATATTCTTCCTGCCTACAAAGCTAAAAGAGCAGTCTGATAGTTCCATGTGTTCCTCATTCATTCATTCTTGATCAAACTTCATCGAGTGGATTGTGGCCTACGGTGTTGCAACAGGATCTGTTCTATTATTATTATTGATTCATGTGACATTATTTCAAGGGCGGGGGAGTCCCCAGGAATTTTTTCACGGACAATTTTTGCCCCCTTTGCGCTAACTGCCACTTTGACGTATACAGTTCCGATGAGGCACCGAAGCGAGGGAATTTCACACGATCGGTTGTTGACTTCTATTGTTGTAAACAAAAAAAAGTGACATAGCGAGACCTCGAAAGGAACACACTAATACAAAAGGTAATTTATTATTGTGCTAAGTAATTGTGAATTTTCGCTTTCTAAACACTGTCGCGCGTTTATTAAAAGAATTGATGTCATGTGAAAATCACGCTCATTGTTTTCACCACGCTTTGGTGAACTTCGCGATTTTGTAAATTCTTTAAATGAAAACGCTGAATCAACAATGTTCTTTCACTTCGCTACGCTATGCGCTAAGTCATGCGGTAAATACTAGATGTAAGGTGAATTACGACCCTCTTAGGCTAATCATTAGATCAGTGTCACAGACTGTATTAATGGACCTGCTGATTGAGCTTAAATGCACAACCACAAGCGAATAGTGGTAATAGTATAAAAGAACTGTATACGACTCACTGGCCGATCGTTGCACTTTATATGTGCAATTCTTTTGTGTCGTTGTTAGGTTAATATCAATTAACAAAAGCTTCCGAAAGGCAGTCAGCCATAAAGTTGTCCAGTCTAATAGAGTGCAGGCCCGGAATGAGGCTATTCTTGGAAAGTTACCTAAACTACATAGATAAGACCTACAGGCTAGGCTTGTGAAACCTTACCATTCTTTCCATTTTGTTTCACTTTTCCATTATTTTTATGACACGTTTAAGTGTCTCGTTAGGTTATCGGCTCCATTACAGGCCTTGTTCGCACACATTTTTACTTTGAGACCACACGCGCGGACAACAATGATTAAGAAAGACACTGCACACAAGAAGTCCAGCCAAGCAATGCGTAAGACATCGAAATTTTCAGCCTAAATATGTCATTTGTGCAGCGTCCGAATGGATTTTCATAACTACTAAAACCGCGATAAGCAGATGTGATCAATTGGGCACTTTGTTATTAAAACAATAGCTGACCTTTTGTCTCGGTTTTCCCCTGTATCCTGCTCCCGATGACCGCAAAAACCAAACTTCAAATCAAAAGATACGCTTCCAAAGCAAATATTTTCGCAGTTTAAATAATCAAGCGGTGAGCATATCATGCAATTAGGAAAACCCCGCGTAATTAAAACAAACAAAACACCGTGTCCGTTGACGATTGTAGCCGCGACGGGTTTTGATTTGTCAGCTCCGCGTAAGATTTTAAAAACAGTTATGATTGAGAGACCACCCTGGACGATATGGTGTTTTGTCCACGTGCCGGTAAATTGGCCGTTCTTGACAATCCTGGGGTGTTACAGACACGCCTTGCGTTCCACCATTTCCGCGGAGAACTTATACACGTATTGGGTCATTCTGCGATCGCTTTGCATTATGGATGTTGATTCTACAAGATGGCGGCTCCTTAGATTTTCGCGCCTCTTCAGCAAAGTGTAGTGTGTCTGTAGTGCACTGTTGTATAATGTCACTTAAGTATATTGTTTGTTATACTATTTTCCTGTCGAAGATCTGAGAGCCAAATCTAAAGTTAGTTAAATAATTATCACATTTCTTAGAAATTCCACATAAATAAATTCACACACTTGTTTTTAAAGTATGTTTCACTTTCGCAGTTTTCACTACGCTATAAAAAGCTCAATTTACATCTATATCGCTTTTAACGGTTCAGTACTGGCATTTAAAGA